TATTTTATTGATTTTTTACAGAGAGGAAGGGAGAGGGATAGAGAGCTAGAAACATCGATGAGAGAGAAACATCCATCAGCTGCCTCCTGCACACCCCCTACTGGGGATGTGCCCGCAACCAAGGTACATGCCCTTGACCGGAATCAAACCGGGGACCCTTGAGTCCGCAGGCCGACGCTCTATCCACTGAGCCAAACCGGTTAGGGCGAGGAGGGTCCTTTTAGAGGGGAGAGGTTGGTGGTATGTTATGGGGAGAAACACATGATGATTGATAGGTGGTTGCGGATGGATGGAGTGGAAGGGGTTCTAAAGGTGAGAGGCTCCTGGTTAGAAATCTGGCTGGGAGGGCGCTTCCCATACTCACTAGAGCAGCGGTTCTCAACCTGTGGGTCGCGACCCCTTTGGGGGTCGAACGACCCTTTCACAGGGGTCACCTTCGGAAAACATATATAATTACATATTGTTTTTGTGATTGATCACTATGCTTTAATTATGTTCAATTTGTAACAATGAAAATACATCCTGGATATCAGATATTTACATGATGATTCATAACAGTAGCAACATGACAGTGATGAAGTAGCAACGAAAATAATTTTATGGTTGGGGGTCAGCACAACATGAGGAGCTGTATGAAAGGGTCGTGGCATTAGGAAGGTTAAGAACCGCTGCACCAGGGGGAACCCCAGCATCTCCTTTTTCGGACTCTTGGGGGAAGGAGTGGTCACCCCCATAGCTGACCAGGGGGAGTTGGGGAGAGAGAGGGTGTTTTATTTTGTTGGTCCTCACCCGAGGATATTTTTTCCCTTGATTGTTAGAGAGAGTGGGAGGGTAGAAGGGAGGTGGGTGGGGAGAAAGAGAGGAAACATCCATGAGAGAGAGAGAGAGAGAGAGAGAGAGAGACACGGATGGATTGCATCCTGCACGTCCCCTAACCAGGCTGACCTGGAATCAAACCTGAGACCCTTAGGTGTACGGGGCCCGCGTTCTAACCACAGAGACACATGGCCAGGGCTGGAGTGGGTTCGTTTGTTTCTTGGGGAGAAGAGACTTGGGCAGCAGTTGCAAACACGGTCTGTCTGTCCTCTACGTTCAAGTTATTTCCAGAATCAAACCTCTCCCCACCCCCCTTCCCCACCTGGATGATCGAGCTCAGCTCCTGACCCGCCTCCCCTCCGCCTGACGACAAATAATCAATTTGAACCACACTGTCTGTCTCCAGTCTGTTCCCTGAGCAGCCACAGGGCACCCTGGGAGCCCAGGCTGCCCTCCTGCCTCCTCCCTCCTCTGCTAGGAGCTCCCCTGGGGCTTCCAGTCACTGGGCTGCCTGGACAGTCACTGGGATGGAGGGGAGTCTCCTGCACTGGGGAGGCTCTTACACGAAGTGGCCAACAGCCAGGGAGATGAATGGATAGGGCCCCCAGCGCCCCCAAAACTAGGAAACCCAATGCATAGGGCCTGAGCCCGCCAAGAGCTAAGGAAGATGCATTGGATGGGGCCTGAGGGCTCCAAACCTAGTGAGATAATTGGATTAAAAAAAAAAATAGTCCCTCTGGGGCCACGGAGGGAGGGATGGCGGGTTTAATCTCCTCTGAGTAGGGTGTAGCCCAGGGGTGGGCAAACTTTTTGACTGGAGGGCCACAATGGGTTCTTAAACTGGACCCGAGGGCCAGAACAAAAGCATGGATGGAGTGTTTGTGTGAACTAATATAAATTCAAAGTAAACATCATTACATAAAAGGGTATGGTTTTTTTTTTTTTTTAGTTTTATTCATTTCAAACGGACCGGATCCAGCCCGCAGGCCGTAGTTTGCCCACGGCTGGCCACTGTTTTTCTTGCTGGCTTTCCAAAGGCTGAAAAGCCTAGGCCAGTGGTCGGCAAACTCATTAGTCAAATATCAACAGAGAAGAGACACATGGATTGATTGCATCCTCAGAGCCAAATATCAACAGTACAACGATTGAAATTTCTTTTGAGAGCCAATTTTTTCAACTTAAACTACATAGGTAGGTACCTTGTTATTCACTTAATTGGGGTCCTCCTAAGCTGGCCTTTGCTAAAAAACGTCCTCAATCTGATTGAGGTATGTTCGCTGAGGTCGACCCCTTCCAACTCTCCCATCCACACTCGTCTCATATACTTGTTTCTCTATCTCCTTTCGTTCATCCTCTCTATATGTCCAAACCATCTCACCATACCTTTCTCCATCCTCGACACTACATCTTCTTTCACTCCACAACGTTCCCTAAAATTAACTTAATCAACTTTACTTAAAGTTGTAGGTCAACTTCGCCGTACTGTACGTGCGCGCCCGCACGTGGTATTTTGTGGAAGAGCCACACTCAAGGGGCCAAAGAGCCGCATGTGGCTCCCGAGCTGCGGTTTGCTGACCACTGGCCTAGAGACCCAGTGCGCGAAATGCGTGCACTGGAGGGTCCCTCGCAGCTGCCGGCCAGTTACCCCCTCCCTTCCCCAGCCAGCTGCCCCCGGACAGTGAAGGGGACAATTTGCATACTACGCTTTTATTATATAGGATGTTGCCTCTTTTCCTCAACATCCTCCACAGCTCCCAGGGCCCTAGGACCAAAGGCGCAACTCCTCAGGCTGCCGTTGTGGGTGGGACTGGACCCAAACGTTACGGTTATCTTTTTGTTTGTTTGATATATTATTGTTGATAGTGTTACAGATGTCTCCCATTCCCGGCCCCTCATCCCTTTACTACCCTCCTCCTGGCCCCTACCCGCCCACCCCCCAGGTCTTCACCACCCTAACACCCCTGCGCATGGGCTGTGAATATCTATACTAATAAAAGGGTCATATGCTAATTCAACCAGATGTCTTCCGGAAGTCCTTCCTGACAAAGTCAGGTTCTGGTGAAGCTGCCTGCGGTCCCAGGGGAAGCCAGCCCAGGTCCCAGGTGCTCTGGGCCAGCCAGAGGGAGGGAAGCCCGGGTCCCGGGTGCAGGGGCCGAGGCAGAGGGGTTAGGAGCGATCTGGCGGGCAGGGGAGCAGTTAGGGGCGATCAGGCAGGCAGGGGAGCAGTTAGGGGTGATCAGGCAGGCAGGCAGGCAGGCAAGTGGTTAGGAGCCAGCGGTCCCAGATTGAGATACCCTTCGTGATCAGGCCTAAATCGTCAGTCAGACATCCCCCATCCTCCCTCCCCCCCATACATGAATTTCATGCACGAGGCCTCTAGTAAGCACATAAGCACTTTGGTTTATCTCTTCTCGCCCCCCCCCCCCCCCCCGGGGGTCCGTCTGTTCCCTGCCTCCCTGCTTCCGGTCTCATTCTATTGGTCAATTCACGTCGTTCATTAGATTCCACCCATCAGTGAGATCATGTGATATCTGCTTTTCTTGGATCACCCAAACTTTGTCCTTGTTCCTGCAAAAGCAACAAGGACCCCAGGTTCCGGGTCCTCCTGGGTCAGCGGGCCCTGTGCACGTGGATGGGCGGCCCCTCAGCCCCTCACGTCTCCCGCCCCGTCACACCCGGTATCACCCCCAGAGCACCTCGGGTCCCGAGCTGCAGGGTTGGGTGTGGAGGCGGGAAGCCCCAGGGACGCGCTCACCTCAGCTGGGCGCCTCAGTGCGGCCGCCGCCATTGGACCCGGTGGCCCGAGTGGAGGTGACAGCCGAGTAACCAGGGCGGGGACCCTGGCCCAGAGGTCCTGAGGCCTGGCTCGCAGGCAGCGCTGCCCCCGCCCCTAGCCCAGCCTCTGGAGCCCAAGCCCGAGCTTCTAACTAAGGAACCAACCCATGAACCCCTCAAATGGGCGCCAGAACACCGGAGCCGGCTTCGCTCTTCCTCAAAAGGGCAGCAGGACGGTTTCTGGGGAGCTGTGGGGGCTGCTGGTCAGGGAAGTGTCTACGTTTCAGACTCAGTGAAGCGAATCCAAGTTGACACCCACTGGTGGCTGGTAGTTTGTTGCATGAATCATCAGGGATCATACATTACGAACCAGTATCCATGATGGGCACACGCTTCTCATGACGTAACGTGTACCTTGGCTTTGGGACTATTTTCTATTTCTTCTTTCTTCTTGAATTTATTGCAGTGACATTGGGCGATAAAAGTATGTAAGTTCCAAGTGTGCAT